TCGAAATGAAACACGAGATGAAAAGCAACGAAGACTATGCAGTAGACTGCTGTACATAGTCAGTAAGATTGAATGTTATCAGGCGAAGGATTAATTAAATACAGTGAGGTAATTAGATAGAAGGAATAATTAGCTGTATTTAATATCATTTATTAACTGCTTATTTGAAACATTTTAATGGAAGAGAATATCATGAGAAGTCTGAAGATCAAATGGGGTGTTAGATGATTTCTTCGTTAATTAAGAGTTAATCAAATTCAGTAAATTGCGTGGGTGACGGATTGCATTTTCTACACTTAGAGAACAATATTTACAAAAGTAATATAATTTTCTCTCTACTCTGTATGTTTCGTAAAATTCTCACCCCAGATTCAAAGATGAAAGATCAGCTTCCGTGCTCGGAACGATTTTCCCAACTCGGCATTCACCGTCGGCGATGAAACCCCGCCAAATTTGGTCGACAGTTCATCAAGCCCCTCTATCGTCCGCCCCTAAGTCGTTTAATTATCCGTGGCAAGCTGGTCTAAGAAATATTTCGCGCAGTAACGTCCGTCGACGAAGGCTACTCGTAAGGATCAACGAAACACCGTAGAGCGTAGAGGGAGGATTCCTGGTAGGATTCTCGTAAAGACGAGTAAAGGCGGCAAAGGGGTCGAGCTAGAGATGGTCCAACGTTTTAGGTTCCAGCTTGGTCGAGATAATGGGCCCGGGTTTAAGGCATACAAAGGGAAGACGGCAGCCACAGTCCGCGACACTTGTGCGCGTTACGGCTTAAGTTTCGTAATACCGTTGGTGATACAGTATGCACACGGCAAGCGGACACTTAATACAATTTGCATATCGTCAGCTCGAAGGAACAGACCTTTGGCTGCATTGTCTTTTCGAAGATGCTAGTCCTCCTATACCGACAGAGGGAGCTTTTTCATTGCTCTTTGGACGGCTTCTTGGGAAGAAATTTTCCTAGCCTTGGATTACGAGTGCATTGAATTCGTGCTTTGAGGGCTTATGAACTTGTATAGCTTCTTAGATCGAGGCCTCTGTGAAGCTGAAACGTAGCTCTCGTATATACTGATCTGCATAATTAAATTTATTGTTACTCCCTATGTTTAATTCTTGATGGGGAACATCACTGTCAGATATCTGAAAATGGATTTTTAAAAAACTATGCATTTGCATAAATATCTGCAGTCTAGTCATCAATTAGAATACAAAACTAATGGATGGAATCGTTTTTCTGAATATGAGAGGAAACTAATGACGAATTAGCTCAGGTGAACAGGAAATCGCGTCCATCAACGATTCCGACTGTCGGACGTGTATCGTCGGATATATAGTGTTCTATTAATTCTTCGTGACAGCAGGATCGTCAATATTAACAGAACTGCAATTGACTGTTAGTGCAGCCTCGTCGTGTCCACGGTGTAGATAAATTTAACTCTCACGCGGAAATTGAAAACGGTTTACACTGTCGAATCGTCGAACTGTAAAATAAAAAAAAAAAGGGAACGAAGGTACCCACCATCGGTCGTAAATGTCAGCGCGTAGAGTTTTCGAGGCTTGATCCGTGTGTGATAATACATATCTGACAGGATAGAAAGCTGACAGTATAGCTGGCTGAAAGGTAAACAAAATTTGCGATGCTCGAATATCGTCAACTATGGATCGATCGTGGGTGTTCGACGCAGGACAACATGCTTCTGAAAACGTTTTCAGAGCGTAACAATTCGGGCGCCCCATTAATTTCAATTTGATTAAAATTCTAGTTTGAATATTGGACAGGAGTAGCGATGTTGAATTTGGAAATTGAAAAAAGTTGCAGCCAAAAATCGTGACGTTTAGTATAGCACATATTGTAGAAAAATATCAAATCCACCCTTATACCCTAAACAACTCTTTCCTAATATTCTCCAGCATTAATGATTAGCTTGAAAATTTATTTATATAACAAAATCATTTTTCAAACTTTCTTTGGACATGAAGCTCCAGGTAAAACCATCATAAGCGATAAAAAACGAAACGACGTTGGAATCAGGAACGTGGATCGCGTATCCCATCGATGCCTGTGCGAATGGGATTTCAGAAGGGTTGCAAGGGTAAGGTAAACGATATTCCCGAAGCTGGTGGATCGATAGCAATTTAACCACCCTTCGCCATTTTGTACGAGCACCTACCGCTACATCTATGTACCTTCCTCCAACCTGGGTCCAGCAACAGCAGCAGCAGCATCGTTGGTTACCTCTGTTTCCACCCCTTTCTCTTCATGTTCATCCTTCTTTCTCTGGTGTGCACAGCGTGGCCCAGTCGGAACTCATCCATATACATCGAGAAAATTAATATCTCGGCTTCGTTCGCACGTTGAATAAACTCGGTTGCGCGCCCGCTTCCTTCCACCTCCTTCGTTTCTCACCCCCTTGCTGCTTCCGGCCGACGCTGATCAACCCCTTGTCTTCCAACACCGTTTCTCTTTCTCTCTCACCTTTCACGGCGTGGGTGGTCTCTGATCTCGGTACGGGGTCGAAATAAAGCGGTCTCCTTTGTTAATAATTTTCCTTTCTTTTTTCAAAGGAATTTCATTTTCGAGCCTTGTTTTTCCTTATTTTGATAATCGTTTTATTTTTATTTGGTCATTTATCAATTTCACTGGAAGAATGATAGTTGATTATTACTACTAGAATAATTAGGATCAACAGTACTTTGATTTTATCTTTGAATTCTGAAACTTGGGCTTATTTCCGGAGATTTGCGATCGCTGGTTGATTCAAGAACGACCGTGTGTGTTTCTTTCTTTTTATTCGACAATTTTTTCCATGGTAATGGGGTTGATGATGTGCTCGAGGAAGTTCCACGGTTGGGTAATTGGGTTATAAGTGATTTGCGTTCTGTTCAGCTTCTCTTCTTTTTATTTTGAGCTCTCTTTTTTTGATAGAATATACGGGAATAATGTTGGAAAATGAAACGACGAGGGAAGGTTGTTTCTGAGTTTAGGAAGCTTGAAGGGGTAGAAATTCGGTTGGTTGAGAAAATGTATTTAGAAATTGATACGTTGTACGTGAAAAACATATGGAAAAAGTTGGTAAAATAATATAATAAATACAGAAAATACCGAAGTACACAATCGAAATCATTTTATTTATATTTAAATACATATCCTCAGAGTAATTTACATTTTAATTGTGAGATAATTTAATGTTTCATATTTAATAATGTCCTAATTTTTGGATTTCACTTTTACGATACAAACACCCTACATTTAAATCATGATCTATCCCCCTATCAATTGTACCAGGAAAAATTTATACCATAGTCTGACAGACTATTCTTCCCTGCAATTAATAGTCGAGGTAGGTTCATCTTCGAGCTGTCATAATCGAGAGAAGCGAGACGATCGTAACAAGGGTCTGACAAGCAGAGTTCAAGTCGCTTAACGCGATGACGACGGCCTTTGTAACCCAAAATCCACAGTCAAAGTTTGGTACCACTTGGCAGCAGTTGTCTTCGGATCACGAAGGCCACCTAAGGTCTCGAGAGACCCTTGACTGGCTGCTAGTTCTTGTAAGAGTGCTTCAACGTTGTTGTCAGTGCGACGAGGAATATACGAAAACGACACTCGTCTCATACCTGACGAGTTCTCGTTTAGCTCTCACAGCCCGTTATCTAACTTTCCTGGAACAATGGCAGTGAAAATGATCGATAAACTCGCTGAACCATTTTTATATCCTACTTGTCCCGTTCCAGTGTTCAGGTTTACAACCATCTAAATTAATTGGTGTGTTAATATGGAAAATAACTATGAGTGTTTTAAAAGTCGAGTTAATTGGTTCATTGTCTTTGTAATTAATTAGACTTAACGTAATGGACAATACAAGTTTGTCATTCATAAATTAACAATCTTCTGATTTCAAATGAACTAAAAATAAAAAACAGTTCATTATATGTAGTTACTAATAAATAAAACAAAAATATAAAACTTTGAACAGTTTCTATGAAAATAATTAGACAACAGGTATAATATAAGAACGGTTCTATAATCCGGCTGATGAGGTGAGTCAGTATATGTTTACAAATTCACGCGCTCGACGCAGGGCCGGAGCTCAGTTGTTTTCAGTTCTTCAAACGGTTCGGTCGAGGTTTGTGTACTGTGAATCGAGCCTGCTTCGAGCACGTGAATTTGTAAGTACACATTCTATATGAATAAGTAAAATGATTGAAATAAGAGATTTCCGCGGTTACGTTACGAGAACAAGCACGAACAATTGCATATAATATCGTAGCCAATTATTTTTGAGCTATGCCGTTCGTAACACGCGAAGAATCTTGTCCATCTGTCAACACCGTTTGCCAACCTCGAGGTCAAGCAAGCTGGCATCAAGAAGATTCGACGAATCTGCGTGTTACGTGGCTATAATAACGAGGGCACAGCCAGTCTGTGTTCGCGAGTAATGAAAAAAAAATGCCAAACACGCGTCGGTATACCAATTTTCCTCGTCGATTCATTAACTTCGTCTCGTTTTCCGAGGTCGATTCGTAGAATTCTTACGGGTAACATCCAGCGAAGTCGTCTCCTCCTCCCTTCTTGGCATCGAAATTCTTCGATCGTTTGATCAAATGTTTTGTACCAATTTATTAATCACCTATGTGTTAATTTAAGTTACATGCAACGGTAGCCTAAAATTATCCGAAACGTTATTTTGGGTGGATTTATTCGTGTAGGAAAATTATTTTCGACCGTGGACTTAATGTTACAAATATTAATATGAATTGCTCATGGTGATTATATAATAATTCTAATTTACTAATGCAAGAAACTTCAGAAGGATAACTATACTAATGTCATCGACGTAATTAAAGAAGAGTACAAAATTGCACCAAATATTGTATTTCAATTTTGAAATTTGTAAAATATTTCGATGACAGGCAACGTTTCTGAAATTTCTTGAATGTAGAACACTTTTACGTTTGTTATAAAAATACTAATTATGAGCTGTTTTGTCTGATTCCAGGCAACGGGAATTTAGAGTTATTTGATAGTGAGAGTGGGCCGGACCTCACACTATCACCTCAGACCTTCACGTCGACGGCGGAGGCCTTCATCAATGACAATAGTGATAGTCTTGGTGTTCCAGGAGACAACGATACGGGTAAGTGATATTTTATTTTCATACTTTTATGCTGAACAGGACTCCCACCGGGTCTTCTGACAAATACCGTTTCTATCGGTGGCGTAATATCTGACATTAACATTTTTTGTTAAATAAAAATATAGCTTTCGTTATGAGAAAATGTAAAAAATTAAAATGAATAGAATATTATTATAATATTGAATATTGAAATTTCTAATTATAGAAAACAAGTCATAATCAGAATCTTTCTTTAACTTTCGTACCTTTTCATGAATAAATAATTTGATTTCATTACTGTAATAAGTTAACAAAACGAAACGGTATTCGTCGGACAGTACAATGATTCTGTCAGCATTCATTCCCTCGATTCAACGCCTGATAAATCGAGAAGCAGCAGGAGTAAAGGTCTCGTATTTTAATCAATCTCGCGTTTCAAGTCGATTTTAATTTAATGGATGGAAAGGGCGGACCGTTGATCGTTCAGAGTCGTTAGACCAAGGAGTACCGAGGACAATGCATTAACGTAATTGTTGCGCTCCTCGTCAACGGGCATAGTAGAACAGTGAGTTACAACTAGTTCGAACAAATCGAGGGAGGCCATTTCCGTGCGTACGCCTCGCTACATAATAGCCATTGTTCCCGACAAGTATAAGGGGACCGTGCCAGTTGTACACTGGCTATAAAATGTCCGCATTATTTGCCGGAGACAGGTTGCACAGTAATCAACACATCTTTATAGTACGATATTTTCATATGGCTCAAACATGTATTTCTTATTATTCTCCCGTCAAGCCCGTAATTATTGAACATTTATGTCACAGGTGGTAATTAATTTAAATGAATTCATTAAATTTCCTAGTGGTTTTGTAAAACGAAAATTACTTGCTTGATTAATTTCACATTTTTCAGGCATACAGGTATAAGAAAATAATCATATTTAGACACACCATAATTATAAACATTTCATCTTTCAATTTGTGTTATCACGTGCTTTCTTGTTAATTAAAATTTTCTTGAACTCTTTTTTCACAATTATTTGATTATCTGATGCTGTGTAAGTGTACAAATTTGCAAGATGAAATGAATATAACTGCAATTAAATGTGGTAACATGACGAAATTTTTGACCCTTTGATTCACACGCGGAGGTAAAACAAACGAGCAGCCTATCCTGGCGAACAAAAAATATCGAATTTCACGAGGCCAGCCAACAGCCGCGTGTGTCGTGGTCGATGCCAAAAGCGTGTTATCTGGCTGACCATGTCGGACCTCGTATTCGATTTGTTTTTTCCTCGACACACGGACATCCTAATTGCCGTCGCGTGTCTTTGGGATCGCTTCGTTCGAGGAAAGAGGGGCTCAGGAAAAAGAAAAAACGAGAAAAACTGGGTTAATGATCCGCAAATTACTAAATGCTTTTTCCGATAGCAGTTGGTTATTCGCGAAAATTTTACACGTTTAATAAATTTAGAAATGAGAACCGTAGGGAGAAATAGGTTAATGGGTTAAAAAACACCAAAAAATCTTTCAATCTGAAAAAAAAAAAAGACAGGAAAGTGATTCCCAAAGGTGTTATAAAATTCCAACGATAAACTACAGCACGGAATATTCATCAGCGATGATTTGCAACGAACGAAATTTCCGGGGTTTGTTTAACGGGCTTCGTAAAAGTGAACCGTTGCTGTTCCGGTGATCGTGGTCCCCGAGCAAGGTGTAACTTTTGCCCGGGTGTAAGTTCATTACAACAATTTTGGGGACACGAAAGCCGAGGGTGGGAAGAACTTGGGAGCCGCAGAGCTGCGGGCGGCCATGAATAAATTTCACCATGACGATATGTCATTTGCATATTACCCGTTACGAGAACCTTCGTTGCGTCGAATGTCGCGTCAGGGTTGGCCAGATCGAAACGCTTCACTTGAGCAAATTATCGCGAAGAATATGATCGATCGTTGTACGTTTATATAGAATTATTTATGAAAATTGTTTCGTGGTGATGGAAAAACTCGTAAAATCATCAGTCATTATCAAGAGATAGTGATTCAAAAAGGGTTATTGTTAGGTTCTTACAATTAGTCCTAATTATAGTTTGCTCAGGTAATATAGAACCAGAAAAGTATAAAAATGTCAAGTGATCTATCTAGAGAGACCATCCTTAGGGAAAAACTACCATAACCGTGCAACCATCTGTTCCCAATGACATCGATATAGATGTACATAAATCCGAAGGTAGTAAAAACGTGCCTTTCAAAGCGATTTATTAAAGGATTCCGCGAAAATGCTTCGTCAAACAGAAAGACAGCAAAGGTATTCCGTCGTGGCCGTATTAAATTCTGCGAGACGCGAGGCAGTCTCGTAATAAGACATCAGACTGGCACGCGGACGTCACTGGAAGGATGAACCCTCCTCCTCCATCTTCCATGGAAGAAAAAAAAAAAAAATACGGGAATCGTTGTAGACAGAGGAGGAATATTGCATTCTTGTGTCGAAGCAATTACTCGCGCGGCAAGGTATCGTTCTTCTGTCGCCTTTACGGCGGAAACTTTCCGTTGAAGAAAAAAGCCTGAGAACTGAGTTGAAATGAGAGAGAAAGAAGGAGAAAAAGACCACTTTTCCAGCAGCATGAAATACTCGAGGCAAAGGATCGTATCTAGGACTCCTCGTTTACCTTTCCCCCTTGTTCCTCCATTTTTTTTTTTTTTCTTTATTTCTTTCGTCTCTCTGCTCTCTGTCTTTGGTGCACGATTCGCCTCGTTCTCGAAAGGACTTCATTTCTGGCTTTAAGCCGTTGCTAGTCGTTTTTCTTCTTGGACCGATACTGATACCTTTTTCCCGCTGACAACGTTTCCTTCGTTATATGGTAGCGATAGATACGTTTGTAGATTCAGTGATTTCGTCAGCGTATCTTTTTTACCCTCTCTTAATCCCTTATTGGTTGTGTGACATTTTTTTCTAACAAGTGTCAGGTAGGGTATAACCCGAGCATTTCTTAATCCTAGAAAGAAAAGGGGGGGGGATATTATTATTTTAGGGACAAGTATTTTTTTTTAAGGCGAAAACAAGTTGCTTTCGCCTGGACTTAGTGGGCACTTGGAAGTAATGGTTGTGGGGCTAACATGGAATGAAAAGCCAGTACTGAAAGGGCGAACAAAAGAAAAATCGATCGAAAAGATATCGAGACGCGTCTCGCTGAAAGTTCCATTAAAATCGCCGTTCTACGCTCGCTGCTCCTGAAACTGACACCTCGAAACGAGAGCGTCGTTGCAGTTTCGAGCACGGCGAAAACAACGAAGCGAGACGGGGCTGAATCATATCCTGCATCCCTACCAGAGAGAGAGAGAAAATTCCCCCTATGCGTGAAAAAGCCAACCGGCGAAAAAAAAAAAAAAAAAGAACTCGATTCCGCGACAAAAAGGTACTCGATGTCGTCTACCTAGCAAAATGTATGCGCATCGTTTATGCTGTTAATACCAGAAACTTTTTCTCAAATTATTAAATAAGATTGTTAATTTAACAAATAAAAATATATCTCGTCGGTATAAAATACGAAGCACGAAAGTGTTGGGTCCACAAAGGGTTAATTCGCCTCGTAATGCATAAACTTCCGGAATTCAGGGACCCTCGCGCTTCCTATCTCGCTTCTGCTCCGTAAACAGCGTCGTAGAATGCTCGTTGGAGGAGGAGGGAAGTGTGGGTGTCGGAATGCAGGGATGGTTGCGAAGGTAGTAGAGAAGGCGATGTCGACGTAATGATATGGAGAAAGTGCGAGGGAGAAAGCTCGATGGTACAACCTCGTTGCCTCTAATGCGAGCTATTGCTCCCACAATGCACTAGTAATACGATTTCACCGTACCGACATCCGCTAGGATGTCCACAGACCCAGGTGTTGCTGGCAGACTTGTGTGGATTTTCGCTGGAACATGATTATCCGTCTGGGTTGGAACATCGATGCTTGTCTCTGTTAGAATGCATTACTGCGTTTCGTGGTGCAAAATAATATTAATTAATAGATTGTACAACGCGTAATGAATCCGAATTACCCGTGAGATGATTAAAAGGACTCTTTCTTAACATTCTACGTGATCCTTCTCTATATCATACTATCAGTAGATACAATGTTCTCTCTGAAATGAAAAATGTCCGAACAGGAATGAACGAAGGTTCAATTTCCCAAGTGTACCTCGAAGGAGCATCGAATTTTTCCAATGGAATCGGTTATTCCCGTTCGGTTTCGCCGTTAAACCCGTCGATACGATTTAAATCGCAAACGGGTACGTCCCCGCGAGACGAGCATCGGCAGGAATACCTAATTACACGGCATTTCGGTGGACGATTTCGTCGGTGATGGATGCAGCCCATTGATATGCAGCCGCGAGCGAGAAGTAAATTGATCGAGACGAGCGTCGGTTGAAATTCGACCATGGACCGGTCTCCGGTTCCGGCTTTCTCCATGACGTCCACAGTTTCTATTATGCACCGCGACGCGCTTCGCATCGTACAGGCAGACGCATCAGCTTGTGTACGTACGTACGTGGGTGTGTGTCAAGTTGGAAGAGGATGAGAGACGGCAATTTGAGCGAAGCACACGCACGCACGCGACGATGAATTTTTATTAGCCCTGTGTCGTATCGAATATGGACAGGCTATCCAGATAAATGGAATCGTTTTTTTTTTTTTTTCAATTAGACTAACGCTGCTATGAAAAAATTATTCAAATATCAAAGCAGCTATTAAATCAATCCGATAGAAGGAGCCAAAACCATACAACGAATAGTTTCGCGATGAGGATCCTATAAGGATGACGGATCCTCCGAAGTTCCTGCCATTAATCCGCGAGCACATCGAGCGCGAAAAAATACGGCTTAAAATTCAGCGTAATATATTTTCCCGCGAAGAAGCCGAACCGAGGGTAGGAAAAATCGCGGTCCATTCAGGGGCGCAGAAAAATTAGCGGTACATCGTAACTCGCGCCATTTGTCTAGCGCAGACATTCAGCGCGATTGTTCCCGTGGTAGTCGCGGC